TGAATTGAGAAACGTGGAAAGAAGCAGTAAGTTGGAAAGAGCAGGAGCTTGGGTTGAATGGGTCAATCAACTGTGGTTGAATGAATGTTGTGAAGGGAGGCTGAGGAGACCGGGGTGGGCCATATTCAAGTTAAAGTTCTGGTGGACTGGAAGGCTAGCAGAGCCATTAATATAGTGGAAGGATATAGAACAAATGTGGTGGAACAGAGAAAAACACATGTAGAGAGTAGCCAAGTTAGTGCAGAGCAGTCTGAGGCACTCTTGTGGCCAGGCTCTGATCCTTTCCTCCTTTTTTTCACAGTTTCTGTGCCAGGGTATCCTTAAAGCTTTCAAGTGTCAGTTTTTTTCAACCAAACCAAATATCCAAACCCACTGACGTGGAGTTGATTTGACTCATAGTGACTCCCATTGGGTTTCCAAGGCTGTAAATCTTTATGGAAGTAGATTGCCTTATCTTCGTCCCACAGAGCAGCTGGTGGGTTTGAATCATGACTATCTGGTTAGCAGCCAAATGTCTCAGTCAGTACGCAACCAGAGTTCCTTTCAACCAGAAGAACCAAATTAGAACATACAGCCAGTAAGTGCTGGAAAGGGAGTTGAACCCAGCTTATTGTGGCTACAGAAACTCTGCTCTTTGTCACTGCATCCCTTTGCCACATTACAAATGCTGCTCTTGCCCACCCTAGCCCACAAAGGTCACCTTAATGTACCTGAAAAAGAACCAGTAATGAACTCAAGTTTCCTGAATCTCCTCCCAAATCTTGGCCTGCTTCCAGAGCCCTGGAGGAAATGGTGGGGGCTAAGGAAGACCCAGGCAATTGGGAGGTCTCCAAACAACACTGAGGCTTCCAGGTGTTTGGTGGTACAGTGAGCAGAGGGAGTGGGGCCAGTGCAAGAAACTTTCTTGGCAGTGCAGAGGAGAGCTGGAGGTTCTTTAAGGGCAGGGGCTGGTGTCATCCCTACTTCTATCCCCAGTCTCTGAGAGAGTGCCTGGCATATGTGTGAGTGAGTGAGTCAACGGCAGAAGGTGAATGTGGGTCACAGCCCTGTTCCATGTATGGATTGTTCTTCAGTTGAGTCTTCCCAAGTTAAGAAACACCTGTCTCCATCTCTAAGAAACAATTCATGTAGCAATATGAGTAATGCTTATCGGGACTAGTTAACTTCAGCTTTAAAAGTAATAAGAATGGTGTAATGACAAATGTGGCAATGACAGTTCACGGACTACAAATGGACAAGTCTGGATTGTATTTGCCTTGTTTACAAAAATACTGCTCACTTTGTCTTCCTCTGGAGAGAGTGAGGTTTTCATTTTAAGAGGCTGACTAAAAACTGCAGGGCCACTTTCTGGGCATGCTTCCAAGTGATTACATCTTTTTCACAGCACTCCCCAGGGCCCAGCCCAAGCAGCCTGGGGCTTGTCTCACAGCCGTTGGTGGCTGTTGGAGTTGCCTCAGGAGTGGTTATCTGCAGCCTACCAGAATTGCTGTCCTTTTAGGCCTTCCTGGGGCACAAATAATGGCACTGGCCTTTGCACTGAAGATTTTGTGATTGGCCAGGCTGGTGTGGAGATGTCATGCTACAAATGGCATTCCTTCCAGCTGAGTACCCAGGCATGCAGGTGAGTCTAAGTGTTTGAAGACTGCCCTCCTTGGTTTTGAAACATTCAAAGCTGGGCATTGTGACTTTCCAAGGTCATGCCTTGGCATATTTCTTAACCCCGTTGAGCCTCAGTTTCCTGTGAAATAGGGATAGTAATACTGCCTCCATAAGGTGTTATGAGACCTAAAAGAAATAACATATGCAGAGTACCTCATCTGGTACCTGACATATATTTGACACAGTTGCTGCGACAATGAGCTCAAACATAGCAGTGATTGTGAGGGTGGCGCAGAACCAGGCAGTGTTTCCTTCTGTTGTACACGGGGTCGCTGTGAATCAGAACCGACTCCATGGAACCTAAAAACAAAAAGCTCCTTATTTCTGGTGCATCAGTCAAAAACAAAAAAAGATTTTAGTGATGATATCCCTGTCTTTATTTCTAATACATTTTTCTCTGACAGGCTCAGTTGGTATATACTACTTCTTCATCATATGTGTGTTGCCAACAGAAATAAAATTTTAGGGTAAGTTAGTGCCAAGGGAAAGTTTGTCAGACTCCATTCCCTTTCTCTTTTTCCCTTCTAGACCCTGACTGCACCTGCCCCATTTGCAGATGAAACCAGCTGCCAGTGCCAAGCTCCCCACGAAAAGCTGACCATTGCTCAGGCCCGCTTAGGAACACCAGGTGAGACTGTACTTATTATTCCCCGAATGGGCACTGTCTTGACATCTAAAGTATATAAGGACTCATCATTATTCGAACAGCACCCACTTTCAATCGAAGTTTTGGGTTTAGAGACTAGAGCACAATGCAAGAAGGCTATACATAACGAACAGTGACAAACTGGACCCACCAAAGTAGCCAAGGGAAAGATTGAACAGAATGTGGGAGCTTGTGCATCAGTGCTGCCATTTACAAGTTCTTCAGCCTAGGGCAAGCCATGAAAATGAACTGAATCTGTTTGTTCATGTGCAAAACAGGGGAAATGATTCCTGTATCACAAAGTTTTTTTTTTTTAATTTTTTTTATAAGAACCAGATTTGATTAAAAGTGTAAAGGCATTTTTTTAAAACAATGAAGACTTACACAAAACTAAGCTACTGTAATAATCACTGTTCTTTAAAAAATGTGTTTTTGAAAAGTTTCTCCAAGTGTATCTTAAATTAGAGAGACTAGACTCTACTATGGAAGTTTGTTCATTCCTTTAGTACATACTAGAGGATGGATATGGAAGAGATTTAAAAAGAAATGTAGCATACCATCTCTGTTTCCCAAGAGCTGTCACTATAATTAAAGAGACAAGATAACTAGATATGAAAGAAAAATCACATGCATAAAATGTATGCATGTGTTTAGGGGTTAAATCCTGCAACACAGATGATAAGAAAATAACCAAAGTTTTGGAAACGGCTCATTCATTTGGCTGGAGCAGTCAGGCAAGACTTTAGGGAGATAAGTGACTGGAGATGATACTTTTGGGAGAAGTAAGATTTGCACTATATGGGCAGAAAATGGCAGGGTATTCTGGGCAGGCAGAACAGGAATAGTGAAGGCACAGAGGTAGAAAGCTGTGTAGTTGTAAATGTTTGATGTTCCAGCTCATTGCAATGAAGTGAGAAATAAGATGAGTTGAGCCAGGTAAGCTTTGAGCCATTTAACTCAGTGGTTCCCATTTGTCATTGCAAAAAACCAATAATCCAAACTTAAAGAAATTCATGGCACAAAGGACAGTTTGCTCAGATAATAATAACAACTGATATCTACTAAGTGCTTACTACATACTAATTCCTTTATAGGTTTTGTGTTATTTTGCTATCAAAACTCTATGTGGTTAGTACTTTTAGTATTTCACAGACTAGGACATTAAGTCTTAGAGACATGAATCTGCACAAGGTCATTCAGCTAGTAAGTGGTTCTCATACTTGAGCTGCATCAGTGTCACCTGGAGGGCTTGTTGAGACACAGGTGGCTGGGCCCAAGGCTTCTGATTCAGTCCTACTGGAATGGGGCCTAAGAATTTGCATTTCTAACAAATTCCCAGCTGATTCTGATGCTACTGCTCAGAAGAGCACACTATGAGAACCAGGGGTAAGTGGTAAAGTTGGGTTGAACTCAAACCTGTTGTGTTAGAACTTGAGCCCCTGACCACAACACCCTTTAAGCGCAGCCTTCAAGAAAAGGACCTGAGGAGGAGGGCTGACAGAGTTAGCTTTGTGTGAGCTTTTTTTGAGAAAGGCAACAAGACGTTTGAGGACATAGTTCACAGCAACTAAGCCAGTTGTTCCCAGACTTTAGTGAGATAAGAACCACCTGGTTAGCATGTTAAAGAAGCAGAATTCCTGCTCTGCTCCTTAAAAAAAAAAAAAAAAATCTGGAATGAGGCCCAGGCATTTGCATTTTTAATGAACAGCCCAGGTGATTCTGAAGGTGGTGGGTTACAGTCCACATACTGAGAAATACAGGTGTTTATGAAGAAAACAGATTTGACCTAAAGTTACAGGATAAGCTTTGGGCCTGAACAGAAAAGGAATATTACTTTTCCCAGTGAAAGGAAAGGGAAATAGTGAGTACTGTACATCTGCTAGGTGCAGTGCCCTTTATTCAATCTCATTTAATCCTTGCAAAAATCATGTGAGATGGGGATTATTGTGTCCTTTTTGCAGATGAGGAAAATGAGACTTGGAGAACTGAAGAGTAATTTGTCAAGTGTCCTTGCTGACTCAGTTGAGCTGGAATTGGGCCTCAAATACCTTTAACCTACAATCCCTGCTTTGCCCACCACAACACACTGCCTCCAAGACCGCGAGAATTAAATGAAAACAAGCTCAGGCTTTCAACTGGGTGGTGGAAAGTGTGTAAACTAGAAAGACTGGCAGTAGCTAGAAATGTCTGCAGGGGGCAGGCCCATCACTGCTGTTTCACCAGCACTTAGAGTAGTACTTGCTATGCTGTGTGCCCTCAGAAAAATTTTTTGAGTCAATGAATGAATGATTGAAAGTTTTGGGCAAAAGAAGGAGCTTGTCCTCTGGAAACAGAAATGGGAAGAATTTTGTCTAATGCTTTGAACCAACATCAAGCTAATTGCTGAGACTGGGCACCCTATGCTGCCTAACCACCGAGCAGTTTAAACCCAAGACTCAATATAGAATAAGATGGTGGTGCATTTTGAAATAGCTATGTAGCGGGCTCTGGGAACACAGATTATGACAGGAGGAGTGAGATGGAGCAAAGATGAATTCCTGGTCCTTAGAAGAGAACTGCTCCCTTTTTGTCTCAGGTGGTGACACGGAATTTATTGAAGAGAATTTGTGATGCTCCTGGGCACCTAACCTGGCCAGAGGAAATTCTTTTAGAAGTTTGTTTATTTAAAATTTCTAATATCAGTGTTAAGATATGATAAGAAGTTAGTTCTTTGATTACCTGGAAGATACATGATGGTCTTAGACCACATTCTGGTAGTCATTGTTTTATTTGAGCAGTAGTTCTCAAACTTTAGAATGTTTCACCACAGGGAGGCTCATTAAAACACAGACTGCTGGGCCTCAGCCCAGAGTTTCTGATTCAGTAGGTCTGGGGTGATGGGCTTGAGAATGTGCATTTCTAGCAAGTTCCCAAGTAATGCTACTGATCTGGGAACTATGTTCTGAGAACCACTGCTTAAGAGTAGTGTTGGCCCACTCCTGTGGCTTCCAGCCAAACAAAAGACAGGCATATGAGCAGAACATTTACA